AGAGAGAGACAACCCCAAGACAGACCCTAGCCGAGCCAGAGTGTGGATTCAGACCCCAGTCGAGCCAGAGTGTGGATTTATGCACAATCTCGAGCCCAACACCCAAGGTACTACGAGGTTCTGTTGCTTCGGCATCGAAATAGAAGTCCAATTGCTAGGTATCACGCCGCAACCCTTTGAAGCTTTCCCATCAACGTTTCGTGCACTCTACTTGTAGGGTTTGGGGTTCTGTTGTTTAATAGCTAATTCTTGATTTTCTTGTTTAATTTGATGTAATCGAATCTGGAAGAACGCCTTTGTTCTTGGGTATGTCGGCCGTCTGATGGGGAAACTGATCACTCTCGTAGCGTGATCACTCAAGCTTTTTGCCATTTATTCTTTTGCCATTTTCCCGCCCCACCTTGAGGCGTGGAGTTGTTGTAGCCAAGCACAGTAAAATGTAGTTTCACACAATCACAGCCGGCCAGGTGAAGATGCCCAACGGGTACGTTGCCGTGGATTTGCCGCACCGAATTCTGGGCGTTTCCGGGGCTTTGTTGGCCGCGCCGTGATCTTAGCAAGTTTACGCGCAAACAGGGCTGACATTGCTCAACTCAAGTTTGCTCGGGCGAGGCGAACCGCTCTTCAAGAGCACGGGCTTTTCATCGAGCAGGTGGCAAAGCCAAACCCGGCTTCGCACCTGAACGGGTTTGAGCTGCGTGGTCAGCTCAGTCTGAATTTAAACAGAAGATATGTCAACCAAACCCATTAATATCAGTACATTCCCTTTACTGGTTCCTAGTGCACCTGCAGGCTTTGGGTGTGGCCACTGGCGGGCTGTCGGCGGCATCACCGATTTTGATGCTCGCCGTCGCAAACGCGGTGATGTTGCGCGTGGTCCTTGGCTCCATGGTTGTTGTAGCAAATCTATTTGTTCCAACTATGTTTTTGCTCAGGCGCGCCTACCTGCGCGTGAAGGAGAAATGGGAAGGATTGGCGTTGGTCCATTTCTCCCAGGCACTGCGTGATGCAGTGCAGAGCTTGGAGGCTGTGACGGGCAACCGTTGGAAGGAAGAAGCTGTATGCCTATAGGCTTTAAACTGGAAGTTAGGGGTTTGGCGCTCAAATCCCTTGTCACGAGGCGGGGTTGGGCAGCGAGCCGAATGACCCCATGGTGGATGAGGTGCAACGTGGGCACGCCTGGGGCTTGGTGACTGGTTTCAACTGGTTTCGTGCTCCTCCTTGGAAGAGCTGCGTAGCATGCTAGTTAAACACATTGCTATCTGATTGCCTTTCCAAGTTTGTGTGAAATGTCCTGCAAGGCTGATACTCCCAACCTGCAGCATGACGACGTGACACTGGAGGACTACATCGAAGCCCTCCGTGAGGCTAGCTAAACTTGTTGGACTGTATGCAGCAAAGAGGGTTCTCACAATGTTTTACTGGAACGGCTCAGGCCCCAACCTACCACTTGAAAGAGTGGATGTTGGAAGATTGGGGCTTCGAACGCCACACCCTCAATAAACTTTTAGAATTCCTTCACTCGCAGTCCTGTTCTACCTGCGCGCCTCGCCGCAGGTTACGTGGACCCACACACAGAGCAGCCGTGGTGGTATTTGAGCCACGCCGTGTGGCTGTGGGAAGCGGCCCTTTGCGACGATCGATTTCAATGATCCCCGCGGAAAAACACAACGGGCAAGCTGTGCATCGTTTTTTGATTGCATTGAAATGTTGAAACACGCATGTGTAACTAGGAAGAAGGTCATTAACTTTGGTCATGCTGTGCAAAACGTTGAGGGTTTTGCTGAAAGCTTGCACTCGGAAGGTTTTCCGCAGCCTTTTGATGTTCTTGTCACTTGTAGGGTTCGGGGTTCTAGGTCTAGGTTCTTAGCTATATCTTTGTTTTCTTTTCTTTGTTGTAATTGAATGTGAGACTGCAACCGATCACCCCGCTAGCGTGATCACCCTCAAGCTTTTTGCCACTTATTCTTTTTCGCGCCCAACCCCCGCCGCGCACCAAATTTAAAAAAGGAGTGACTCAGTGTTGAGATTCTGCTATCATACGCAGCCCCGGCTCGAGCCTAGTGACTACACGCATCATTGACACGCCACACTCCTACATACAGCAGTCTTCAGCAAGGTTACACGCAGACCTCACGCAACAACACGGTATTCAATTAGGGCCGAAATAGCCTTCGGTTTCGGATCTGCTGCTATGGTTGAGTGTGTGGTTGTGCACAAATTGTGGCCCCACAGCGTCGCAGCGCAAACTGAGCTGGTCGACCGGTTTAGGGTTTAGGGTTTAAGGGTTTAGGGTTTATAGAAGTTATATAGGGTCCAGGTCCTAAAAAGTTTTGCAAAGAAGTTTTGTAAAAAAGTTTTGT